AAATCGGACTATCATGTGTGAATAATAATGTAGTATCCCGAGAGGAGTAATCGGTATGGTCAAGGGTCTCATAATTNTCTTACCAATTTAGGATCCATTAATCCTGGTATTTGTTTATAAATAATTGATGATATTTGTGATTGTCAAGTATCCGTAAGACATGTCTACTTGCAGAAGAAAATTTAGCCCAATTTTGCAATAANAGCAGTCTTAATTAAAAGTGAATTTCATCCAACGATAAAACACATGACTAATTCAACGAACTAAGTCTGGTTAAATTTTCATATAACATTGCATAAAANAACAATCTTAATTAAAAGTGAATTTCATCCAACGATAAAACTCATGACTAATTCAACGAACTAAGTCTGGTTAAATTTTCATATAACATTGCATAAAAAATAAAGTTGGAAGATGGTCATCCTTTGTGTTCACCCCAAAATGCGTAGTTAAGCATATAGAATTGGACCAAAGATTCAAAGGAACTCATGCTTAAGTCAGTCAATAGAGTGGATTTGAGCAAAGGAGGATTGACAAACGAATTGGCGACTTTTCCACCTTTTCCCACAACTTCAAGACTTGATTCTCGTCAATCTCCTCTCATATATAAACTATAATAAAAAATTAAATCCTAATTTCATTAGTCATATATAGTTGGTTTGATTTTTTTTATTGGCTACTTTATTATCAATTCAAATTCATTATATTATATTTTATAGGTTGGAATATGGGTACACACTATCCAATTATATTTTATTATTTGATTTGAATTCTATAAGGATATATATAATTTCGACTCGTTTGAAAAAGAAAGAGTTGACAATACATATAGAAAATGTACTAATTAAGTCGACCATTAATAACTAGTTCAAACATTAGGAGTAGTCTGATCAAATAAGGGATTAGACCACTCTTAGAAATATAAAACAAAACCCAACTCTCATAGTTCGGAGCCTAACTCCATGTATGTGGATGCACAATTGTGGTAAATCATGTGATTATCTAATGTAATTGAGTTAAAATTCAAAATATAATTACTTAAAAATAAATCATTAAGGTCATCTCCAGATTTATATTTGTAGTCAAATTTAATTTAACATTTGAATAAAAAAATTAATTTAATACAAAACATTCCGATGAACAAACTCAAATTTAAAGGAAAACACGTTTTGATTCTTTCTACCACCATTATTTCCTAACTCACTTGCTCAAACGGGAGTTTCAATTCCGAAACCAGTGTTTGCTCATGAAATCATTGTTTTTACTGTTTGAAAGTTTGTCTCAAATTTAAAAGAAGACGAAATATGACAATTTAAATTTGAATCAAAAATATTAAAAAAACAACCTTAAGTTCTTTACTTAAATCAATACCATATTTAAGTAAAGAACTTAAGAATTGAAAATGTCCTAATTAATATTCTAATCAATCAAAATTTATTAGAAAATGATATATTGACTTACTTAGATGAGACACCAAGAAAAAGGAAGAGTGTAGTGGAATAGTGAGTCGACATTATTCTATTTTATTTACTCAAAATAAATAAAAAAGGACTAGTTAGGCGACAGGGATGCGCATGATAAGGAGAAGAAGTTGAAGACTTGAAGTAGCGAGGGTGGGCCCCACTAATTTGGGCTGAGACTGAGTGGGCCCACAGCCGCAAACGAGCACATGAGCCCACGTCGGACTGCTACCAACTACCGCCCGAAAAGAGAGGGAGAAGTTGGTAGCGTGTGGGATATTGACGTCTCCCAGTTGTATTTATTTTTTTACCCTCCATTTATTTTCTATTTACAATGCTGCCATCCTACGCTGTTCTTCTCAAGACACTAATGTGACGATGATGATATCACATTATTATCTATATTTATTATTATTAATTTATTATAAAGAAACAATTAGACCAAGTGCATGTTACCAATTTAGGATCCATTAATCCTGGTATTTGTTTATAAATAATTGATGATATTTGTGATTGTCGAGTATCCGTAAGACATGTCTACTTGCAGAAGAAAATTTAGCCCAATTTTGCAATAAATCGGACTATCATGTGTGAATAATAATGTAGTATCCCGAGAGAAGTAATCGGTATGGTCAAGGGTCTCATAATTATCATCTTCAAGTGATTGATTTGAGGAAATAACGACATCTAAATTTGTTGTTTTCGAACTCCTCCAACTATTTCCAACGACATTTAAATTGAATGTTTCCTAAATTCGCCCAATTTTTTGGCAACGAAAGAGTGAATTGCGTTTATCTAAGTACTTAAACAACTATTTATTGTCAGATACAATCTGGGTTCTGAGTCATGCCTTTGGTGTCGAAGAATAGGTCAAATTCATAATTATATTAGTTAAAAAATAATAAATCAAATGCACATTGATGAGTCTGTTTTGTCCTTTTACTAAATTCGGATATGCAAAATATAGTGAAGCTACCAAAAAGAAGGGTTTTGTGCATTATTTAACAAAAAATTTTTATGGCTGAGGGTACTCATCATTTGGCTGATGCTTGGATCCAGAAGAGGGACCTGGGGGTGAGGGCCCAACATCAGGATCATGCATGTGATGTTTGGTAGGAATTGAATTCTAAACTATTAGGGGTAGAACAATTAATACTATATATATTGATAGAGTGAGAGGTACAATCCAATAGTTCAAATGGTAATTGAGAAAAATTGTAAATATAGATGTTTGGAGTTTGTATCTTGATAATTATTTGGGTGAATTTATCTCTTATAAATACTTTAGTTTCGGTGTGGATAGTCTGCATTTAACTGAAATGAGAAAAAGATTAGCCGAAGTGCACGTAAGCTGACCTAGAGACCCCTGATCATTGAACCAAAAAAAAAGAGTAAAGAGCAATAACGCATAATAAACCCATATATATTTTCGATATTAAATTTTTATTGAGTAATATTTTGAGATCTCAAGTTTTATACGAGACGTTTTCGTTAATCCGAAACAAATCATTCATGGGTGATTACTCACATTTTAAATTCATAATAGATTAGTTTGTTTTTAAGTTAAAAAAATGCGTGATTGAAAGAACAATGTTACATAGGCTTAAAAAATAAATTTGATAATTATAACTACTGTTTTCATTGTGAATTTTAACATTTATTAGAATTTACTACTTATTTAATAATTATAATTATCAAATTTATTTTTAAAATTCATCCAGCATTACCTATGATTAAAATGATTCTTCATCATCAGAGAGAGATTATAACACACCAGCCTGATAAACTTTTTTTTTTTTTTTTTTTCAAAGAATGAGGAAAGCCGGGGAAAAAAAAACTCAGGGAAGCTTCTAATGTCTATACCTAACACCTTTAGAAAAAGAATAACAATAAAAGGAAAGGGAGAAAGAGGTATTATTTTATGGGTTGTTGTTTCATATCAGCCTACCATCCACCCACTATGTGTCCTGTTGCTGACAGTCATTTATGCCTTATATTACTTCTTATCCTACTTCTGAAAGGATCTGTTTGGTACTTCTGACCTCATTTTCCTATCTACTTCCTAAAAAAAATTAAAACTGACTTCCACGTGGTAGAACATGCTTCATCTTTTTTTTTTTTTTGTTCAATTAGAAGAGAGTGAGTCATAACAAGTGAATGATCAAGAACAATTAGATTAAGGTGTATAAATGGAAGTATAACAAGTGAATGATCAAGAACAATTAGATTGGTGATTCGGGTCGATTCTTAGATTGATTATGCGATGGATTTTAATTTCAAACTCAAGTTTATTGACCAAATTCACTTTTGTCGTTGCATGGATGGGTAGCTCTCTTCTAATACGGAAACTCAGTGCAAACAATATCTCTATTCAACTCCATGGACAGAACCAGTTTGGAATGACATATAAATGGATGTAGAGAGAATTTGTTGATTTGAACGAAAGCAAAATATATTCTCTGCACAGAAAAATTTTTAAAAAATAATAAGTTTTCAATCCTCTCTTACACACTTTTCTCAATTTTTTTAATGGTAAATCACTCCTTATAAATAATAGAAATAAAAAAAAACCACTCATCATAAATGAAGTAAAACCCATTATATATAAGTTGTTACTGGATCAAAATACAATAAATAATATAACATTTCAAGTATATATATATATATATATATATCGTAATAGATCTAGATTCATGTTTATTCAAGATATTATACAGCTAAAACAAAACCTATGGTGAAGTCTTATTGAAGGAGTATTGCACAAAATAAGTAATATCTTGCATTAAAGTGAAAGGAGTGATTTAGGTAGGATTTGTTTCTAGAAAGCTTGGTTGGGTAGCTCATGGCTAAGAGATAATAATGGTTAGGTTGGTACGAAGGACAGTTGTTAGTTTCTTCACGCATTTTAGCGCTTTTATTGTATAAGAAGAGAGAGTTTACCCACCTCTCTCTCTCTCTCTCTCTCGTTTTCATCTCATCCTCTCACTGCTTATCCATTGCACATGCAAATCCCAATCTTTTTTTCCAAAGAAGACAAACCCAAAAAGATTCTAATTTTGGAGAAAGAAAAAGTAATGAACAGAAAAAAAATGGTTTAATGGAAGCCTAGAAATTCTTCTGTGTCACATGAATCAACATACTTTTATCAAAAGATTCATCACAAAGGCACCCCCAAAAGATAAAGATGGAGAAAATGAAAAGACAAAAGGAAAAAAAAAAATGCGTTTTGTAAGATCTCTATAAAAGAAAGATATAACCTCACCACATGCATATGTTATTAGGTGAATATTTTGTAAAAAAAAAAAAAAGACAAAGTTTCCATATGGAAACAAATTAGCATTAAACATCTATTAAAAACACATTAGTCTTTCCAAAAAGAAAAGAAAAGAAAAACCCTCTCTTTCTTTGGACCCCAGTATAGTCTTAATCATCTATCTTTAGTTGCTGTTAGCACCAACGTTCTGCAACAACCATAACAAGAGTACAAAAACTCTTTTGAAAATCTTGTAAGGGTCTGACATATATGCCAACTTTTTCCTCACAGACAAAGCAAACAAAACAACAATAGGCTCTGATTGATCAGAAACATTCACAAAATTTGCAAAATGAACAACCAAAATGGTCATCTGTACTGGCACTATATTGCTATGCACTTATAGTTTTACAAATAGGAGAAGAAACTCGTAGAGGCTTTAAGCTAATACCACTTCATTTTCACATTTCTCTCCTCTCTCCTCTATCCTCTTTCCCTATTCTTTCGGATCTGGATCTTCTCAAATATTATTTTTCTTCCATTTTCATTTCTTGACAAATCATCTACCAAATTAACAAGTGTGGAACGCACTTATATGTAAATTCAAGAAGGAAAACAGAGAGAAAATGTATTGAAAAAGATCTCGATCTTTCTTTGATCCATAGTCCCATTCAATTTCATTTCATCTCCAAGCTTCTGTAATCTAAAACACCATTTTTCAACCCTAAGAAATCATAACCAGTGCCACTGCTACTTGTACCATTGCTACAATTGCAGTCTTTACTATTTTGTATTCCCAAACTGCAAGCAAAACATATACTGCTAGTCCTCCCTCCGGTCTTCAATGGCTCAGATTGGTGGTGATAAGGAGGACTAATTCTCAGATCAAGGTTCAAGTCCGGACACCGTTCGCGAACCGGGCTCTTCTCTTCTTTGATTACAAAACCACTAGTTATTTTCTCTTCTACTTTAACAGCAGCACTTGAAAAAGATATGGTTGTCACTTCCTGCGCAGGCTCGTTGATTGGCCGGTGAGTCGATGGATCGATGCCACGGCTAAGAAGCTTTCTTCTTATGTGGGTGTTCCAATAATTCTTTATCTCATTGTCTGTTCTTCCTGGTAATCTTCCAGCTATTAGAGACCACCTATAACAAGTACCATAAAATCTCATTAACTAATAAAACCTAACAGACTTCTAGAAAGAGAATTCAACTAGTACACAACAGAGTCTTTTTTCAGTACCGTAACTAAATTACTACAAAATAAATGTGAGATTATGACTTAATTTGGTGAGTTTACGATGAAATAGAATTGTTTAGGATCGATAACTTCACTTCTTATAAACTGGAAATGGTCCGTTTTCATTGTAAATATCGATAACTTTGGATCCATAGTTAGAATCCTTTGGAAGAAGAATAATTAACTAATCAAAGTACAGTTATTTAAAAGGTACGTAGATACATGAAAGTATGTTGGACTTACTTGTTACCAAGGAGACTATGCAGTTTGATTATGAGTTCATCTTCTTCTTCTGTAAAATTCCCACGTTTGAGGTCAGGCCTCAAGTAGTTAATCCATCGGAGCCGACAACTCTTGCCGCACCGGAGAAGGCCGGCGGCCTTCGGAAGTGACCGCCAGCAGCCTTCACCATGAGCTCGGATATATGCGATGAGCCGATCATCTTCTTCTTTGGTCCATGCTCCTTTGTTGGTATGAGCTTTCTCACAGCAAGGAGACCTTCCCATTTAGCAAAGATTACAAGTAATTAACTTACTAGTTGAAGCTCAAAAGATTTTCTCTCTCTTCCTCCTTTGGGTTGTTGCTAGGATGATGGTGTGGAAATGGAAGTCTAACTCAAACCTTTGGTGGTGCTTGAACATCAAAGCCGGCCCTTTGAGAATTTGAGATGGGATTTTATAGGACTTTGACTATAAAAGTGGGGAGAGAGGGGGAGAGAGAGACTAATTGCTTCTAGATGTGAGTTGGTGAGACAGGTTTGAGNTAATTTTATATTAGGATAAAATCATATTTTTTAACGATTATATTAATATATATCAACGAAAAGTGGTTATGTGTTACACATGCATAAACGTCATGAGATGTAAGGGGAATATTTTAAATGTGAAGGAATTCAAATGATTAAGTGACAAACATGAGGGGATCAAGATATAATTTATTAATTTAATTTTAGGCGCACATTGATACAAATTTCTATCTTTGAAGGTGCAAATTGAGATTTTTGATCTTTGGGGATGCACATTGATACAAATTTTTATCTTTGAGGGTGTAAATTGAGATTTTTGATCTTTGAAGGTGCAAATTGAGATTCGAACAATCTTTCGAGGTGCAAAATGAGATTAATCCTTAGTTTTATCTCACATTATATATATATATATATATATATAATAAGGTACAAAAGACATTAAATATGAGCAATACTATATAAATTTAAAAAATAGACTTAAAAATTAGACTTAATAATCTTAACCATTAATTTCACTGTGGGTCTCAGCATTTATTGGGATCCACTATCTATTCAATGGTTGAGATTATCAAGTCTAATTTTTAAGTTTATGTAGCATTACTCCATTAAATATAGATAACCTTCTAGTAGGTGTATAGTAAGGTGTTAGATTAGGGCAAGATCAGTGCACTCCGCTTTTCTGATGTCTAAACTCTAAACAACCTTGGATTAATAATTTAACTAACCCTCTCAAAATCTTCCCCAACCCACCAGACAACATGTACCAGAACATATTTATTTTTACTGTGTCATATGGTTAGAAGTAATATCAAGCCCTAACGGATTTTCATAGTAAATGAATAGAATTACCATACTCGTCAAAGAAAAAGATCAATATGAATCCTAATTAATTATAACTTATTCACGATACGAGCCGAGTATTAAAGATTATAAATTAGTGAGGTATGAATTGAACAATTTGAAAAGACACAACGTTCATGGTCTAGAAGATATGATATGACAACGACTCATTGTCAACCTAATTAGTCATAATTAGGTTGTGTATAATTTGACAAATCAGTTCAGTTAGCATGGATCAAAGTTTTAACGCAGATATCCAAGTTGTGTATAATTTGACTCCAATTATTAACTATTTCAAATTTCAATGGTAATGAAGGCATTCTATCTAATTTGTTAACTGTTGAGTACAAATTCAATTGGATGCATAGTGTAATGCGCCAACCTAAATTCTTGTTATTTTTGTAAATTACCTGCAGTCTTGGAGTGGGCATTTGGAGAAGAAAGGTTTAGTGGGTTAGGCTATTCTTGTGCATGTAAGGGAAGGTAGATGTTGTACTTCTCTATTCTATGTGGTGCTCTCTCATGCATGAGAGAGAGAGAGAGAGAGAGAGAGAGAGANATTAAAAACACATTAGTCTTTCCAAAAAGAAAAGAAAAGAAAAACCCTCTCTTTCTTTGGACCCCAGTATAGTCTTAATCATCTATCTTTAGTTGCTGTTAGCACCAACGTTCTGCAACAACCATAACAAGAGTACAAAAACTCTTTTGAAAATCTTGTAAGGGTCTGACATATATGCCAACTTTTTCCTCACAGACAAAGCAAACAAAACAACAATAGGCTCTGATTGATCAGAAACATTCACAAAATTTGCAAAATGAACAACCAAAATGGTCATCTGTACTGGCACTATATTGCTATGCACTTATAGTTTTACAAATAGGAGAAGAAACTCGTAGAGGCTTTAAGCTAATACCACTTCATTTTCACATTTCTCTCCTCTCTCCTCTATCCTCTTTCCCTATTCTTTCGGATCTGGATCTTCTCAAATATTATTTTTCTTCCATTTTCATTTCTTGACAAATCATCTACCAAATTAACAAGTGTGGAACGCACTTATATGTAAATTCAAGAAGGAAAACAGAGAGAAAATGTATTGAAAAAGATCTCGATCTTTCTTTGATCCATAGTCCCATTCAATTTCATTTCATCTCCAAGCTTCTGTAATCTAAAACACCATTTTTCAACCCTAAGAAATCATAACCAGTGCCACTGCTACTTGTACCATTGCTACAATTGCAGTCTTTACTATTTTGTATTCCCAAACTGCAAGCAAAACATATACTGCTAGTCCTCCCTCCGGTCTTCAATGGCTCAGATTGGTGGTGATAAGGAGGACTAATTCTCAGATCAAGGTTCAAGTCCGGACACCGTTCGCGAACCGGGCTCTTCTCTTCTTTGATTACAAAACCACTAGTTATTTTCTCTTCTACTTTAACAGCAGCACTTGAAAAAGATATGGTTGTCACTTCCTGCGCAGGCTCGTTGATTGGCCGGTGAGTCGATGGATCGATGCCACGGCTAAGAAGCTTTCTTCTTATGTGGGTGTTCCAATAATTCTTTATCTCATTGTCTGTTCTTCCTGGTAATCTTCCAGCTATTAGAGACCACCTATAACAAGTACCATAAAATCTCATTAACTAATAAAACCTAACAGACTTCTAGAAAGAGAATTCAACTAGTACACAACAGAGTCTTTTTTCAGTACCGTAACTAAATTACTACAAAATAAATGTGAGATTATGACTTAATTTGGTGAGTTTACGATGAAATAGAATTGTTTAGGATCGATAACTTCACTTCTTATAAACTGGAAATGGTCCGTTTTCATTGTAAATATCGATAACTTTGGATCCATAGTTAGAATCCTTTGGAAGAAGAATAATTAACTAATCAAAGTACAGTTATTTAAAAGGTACGTAGATACATGAAAGTATGTTGGACTTACTTGTTACCAAGGAGACTATGCAGTTTGATTATGAGTTCATCTTCTTCTTCTGTAAAATTCCCACGTTTGAGGTCAGGCCTCAAGTAGTTAATCCATCGGAGCCGACAACTCTTGCCGCACCGGAGAAGGCCGGCGGCCTTCGGAAGTGACCGCCAGCAGCCTTCACCATGAGCTCGGATATATGCGATGAGCCGATCATCTTCTTCTTTGGTCCATGCTCCTTTGTTGGTATGAGCTTTCTCACAGCAAGGAGACCTTCCCATTTAGCAAAGATTACAAGTAATTAACTTACTAGTTGAAGCTCAAAAGATTTTCTCTCTCTTCCTCCTTTGGGTTGTTGCTAGGATGATGGTGTGGAAATGGAAGTCTAACTCAAACCTTTGGTGGTGCTTGAACATCAAAGCCGGCCCTTTGAGAATTTGAGATGGGATTTTATAGGACTTTGACTATAAAAGTGGGGAGAGAGGGGGAGAGAGAGACTAATTGCTTCTAGATGTGAGTTGGTGAGACAGGTTTGAG